GAAACCTTGGGAGAGTGTTTCAATGGATTTCATCAATAGCTTGCCAAAGGTGAATGACTTTACTTNAGGCAAGAACGGACCCTTGTCCAATTGGTGGAACGTTATTATTGGCCTCGCATGGAAGCAAATGTTGAGCTTTATGTGTGCACTTGTTTAGTGTGCCAGTAGCACAAGATGAAAAGGAGGAAAATGGAGGCTACCTTAGAGCCTTTCTCTATTCCAAGGAAACCTGGGGAGAGTGTTTCAATGGATTTCATCAATAGCTTGCCAAAGGTGAATGACTTTACTTCGATCTTTGTGGTCGTAGACAGATTTTCGAAGTATGTCACAATCATTGCGGTTCCAAAAATACGTTTTGTTGAAGTTACACCTCGGCTATTTCTTAAGCACATTGTGAAGCTTTGGGGCCTTCCGTTGGATGTTATCAACAACAGAGACACAAGATTTACTAGCCGATTTTGGACGGCCTTGTTCAAGTTGTTGGGTACAAAGCTCAACCTCTCCACCAACAATCATTCGCAGACAGATGGGCATATTGATCAGGTTAATGAAATGCTGGAGAAGTATCTCAGGCATTACGTCACAACAAACCAGCAGAATTGGGTAGANCACCTCGGCTATTTCTTAAGCACATTGTGAAGCTTTGGGGCCTTCCGTTAGATGTTATCAACAACAGAGACACAAGATTTACTAGCCGATTTTGGACGGCCTTGTTCAAGCTGTTGGGTACCACCAACAATCATTCGCAGACAGATGGGCATATTGATCAGGTTAATGCAATGCTGGAGAAGTATCTCAGGCATTACGTCACAACAAACCAGCAGAATTGGGTAGATTTACTTGATGTTGCCCAATTCAGCTACAACTTGTAGCAAAGTTCCTCCAATGGGATGAGTCCATTCAAGTTGGCAACTGGCCAACAACCTCTCACTCCACATGAAGTGGCCGAGCAAAAATCTCAAAAGAGATGTCCTACAGCTTATCGCTTTGACCGACGAGGCAAATGACTGCTTGACAAAGGGCATGAAGAAATGGACAGATGAGAAAATAAAGAATGGACTTCAATGTAGGTGACAAAGTGATGCTCAAACTTACCNGAGAGATGTCCTACAGCTTATTGCTTTGACCGACGAGGCAAATGACTGCTTGACAAAGGACATGAAGAAATGGACAGATGAGAAAATAAAGAGTGGACTTCGATGTTGGTGACAAAGTGATGCTCAAACTTACCCCACCAATTTAGAAGAAGATCACTCGAAAGTCTGCACATAAGGGATTGATCCAGTTCTATAACAGTCCTTTTCTTATCACAAGAAGGATTGACAGATTGGCCTATAGGCTGGATCTTCCGACTCGTCTCAAGCTACATCCGATTTTTCATGTTGCGTTCTTGAAGCCATACGTTGAGGACCCAGAGGACCCTAGCAGATATGTTCGGCGTCAGGCTCCTCCAACAATCAAGAAGTAATTCACAGAGATAGCAGAATCTATCCTTGACCAAAAGACTGAGGAAATGAGTATGAAAAATAGGATTCATTACCTAGTCAAGTGAAAAGAAAAAGCATCGAAAGAAGCTACTTGAGAGAAGTAGACGACATTATGACAATTCGAGGATCTTATCAACCAATATCCAATGAAATCGTTGGATACTTCAAGTGAGGGTGACTTGTCACACCCTAACTGACAATTCCTCAATATCTTGTTCATTCGCAACAAAATATTTTCTTTGTGCGTCGGTAAAAAATCATGTTTTTTGGGAGAGAGATACTATTTCATCAATCAAGTCACAGGTATCTAACATATTCATACCTAACAATTTTTTACAAAGTGGTGACGAAACGTATAACTTGTACAAATCTTTCTATTTTTCAAGTCGATTTGATCCACTCGTTCGTAGAGCAATTTACTCGATCGCAGACATTTCTAGAACACCTCTAACAGAGGGACAAATAGTCAATTTTGAAAGGGCGCACAATGGTAGGTTTTGGTGGCACCTTGCACCAAGGTACGCCATGAAATGGAATCAAGGTGATGCGACTAAGTGGTTTGATAGGTTGATGTGGACTGTGGTAGCATAAGACCACCCAGCTGAGCATGGCGGCACGCAATGCGCTCAATTGAGACAATGTTGGTGCATGGCTTTGAATTGCATGACATGGGATTGACCAAGCATACACAATGATTTGTGACCAAGGTTGGTTGCTAAATTGTGGGCACATGACTGCTTAAGGCATATGACTAGGAGGATGTGGGCAGTTGCGAGTGCATGACTCAATCAAAAGAGTTACTGAACATAACCTAGTCTGAGGGAAGCAGTTCTAGGCGTTCTCAGCCACATTCTGGTCTAGGTGCATGCAGAGAAGGACAGTTCCACATTAGGTGCTAAATGGGTGGGACTACCTACCAGGTGTCACACAGAGAAACAGCTTTGTTGACCAAGTCTGCTAGAGAATAGGCAGACTGTTGTAACAGCCCCTTAGTAGATGGAGGTGTTATATGCCATGCTCCTTTTATAAATAGGGGTGCTTAGGCGTTCTTTAGAGTTAGATAGAGTGTTCTTGCTTTGAGTTCCTTATAAATTACTGATAGCTTCAATATATAATGTTTAGAAGTGTTTTCCCAGTAAATTCATGTGGTGCCTTTGTGTGAGTTTGTGTGTCCCTTTACTTGAGTTTGTGTGGCTAGTTGTAGTGGCAACGCCTTTTAGAGTAGCCTCAAAAGAAAAACAAGTAGTTACTCTGTGACACCTTGAAACATGTTGACTTGCAAGCCCCAACCGATTAAAGATGCATTTTGGTCCAGGGAGAAGTCGCCTAGACAATAGTTTGGTACTTTTACTAGTACTACTCCTAGTTTTATATATGTTATAATTTACCATTGCATATCACAAGTAGGGAAACCAGGGCATAAGTCAATAATTATACAACTGCAAAAAAATATAAATTATGCCCTTCAAATAAATCAATCATTTCAAAACTCATATGAAGGGACCCTTAAGACGCAGGGACACCAATACACAACACGGATACAACATGAAACGAACACGCTGATACGAAATTTTTCAAAAAAATAAGATACGGACACATAAACGATACGTTAAATAATATGTATTTATATATATAAACATAAATATATATATATATATATATATTCATGTTATAAAATAAAAATATTTTCATAATAATCTTTTAGTTCATTCTTTCCTTAATTCTCAAAATTCACATCATAATATCACTACATAAAAAGTACAATATAAGATATAATAATACACATTTCAACATTAACATCCATAATCCAACAATCAATGACTACTATAACTTTCATTGTCAAAAATATTACACTTTATAATACTAATTTTCATCAATTTTAAAGAGCTCCCAATTTTGCAACCCCATTTTTTGTCATATTTTTTTCATATTAAAAATTTATTCCATTTGCATATAAGTTCATATTTATATCCAAAATTATGTTATATTCATATCCTAGGTTCAATGAAATGATTATAACTTTTTTTATATAATGACTTTGACTCATATCTCTTTAAAATTATAAAAATAACTCGTAATTATAAAGTTATCTAAAAAGTTCTCAAAACACATCCCTAGCGTACCGGTCACGTGTCCCCACCGTGTCCTGAGCATGTCGGCCGCATGTCCTCAATGTGTGCTGAAAAAAATTAACAATAAAAAAATTAGACACTTATTTTAGTGTGTCCAACACATGTCCAAAACATGTCTGTGTCCCAGACGTGTCCGACACGGACATTCCGGTCAAAATGAAATGTTCATGCTTCGACCCAAACAAGAACCCAATGCATTCCTTATTAGGGGTGCAACTCGGGCAGGCTCGGCGAGTTGAGAGGTCAACCCTAGCGCAACCCTACGTATATAATCTTTAACCCTAATCCTATGATTCAACCCGAGTACTGCCTGAGTTTAATTCAGGCGGGCTTGGGTTGAATTCGGATTACTTAATTAGGATTGATTTCAAGTTAAAAATCAGGTTAAATTTTGATTACTTAATTCAAGTTGATTTTTTGAAGTGTAGATTTAATTTTTTCAAGTGTAGATCTAATTTTTTCAAGTAATTTGAAATGAAGGGCAAGACGCAAATGAAGAGAAAGAGAGTGAGAGAGGGAGGCTAAGAGTCTAAGCCGACTCAGACGAGAGACGATTGAGAGAGGCAGTTNGGGTTGATTTTTTGAAGTGTAGATTTAATTTTTTCAAGTGTAGATCTAATTTTTTCAAGTGATTTGAAATGAAGGGCAAGACGCAAATGAAGAGAAAGAGAGTGAGAGAGGGAGGCTAAGAGTCTAAGCCGACTCAGACGAGAGACGATTAAGAGAGGCGGTTGAGAGAGGGAGGACTGACGAGTGAGAGAGAGATCTGAGAGTCATGGAGGCGCAGGGGTAAAGACTTGAAGTGANGAGAGAGGCAGTTGAGAGAGGGAGGACTAACGAGTGAGAGAGAGATCTGAGAGTCATGGAGGCGCAGGGGTAAAGACTTGAAGTGAAGTGATAGTCTGAACTCTAAAGAGTGAAGATAAATACTAACCCTAATTAAATATATTTATATATTTTTATATATTTTCGGGTTCAACCCGATTTTAATATTTGGATTGAACCTGACAACCCGAGGCCTCAACCCGAGACTTGCCCAAATTCAATTTGGGTTGGAATTTTTTTGCCCAAGCCCAACCCTAGTATTAAAAATTCTAACCCAAGACGTGTTTTTTTTGGGTTGGGCTTGGGTTGAATTCGGATTGGCCCGCCCAAGTTACACCCCTATTCCTTATCGGCCCAAAAATGCTTATTTGCAATTTGGACCCAAAAAATGTAGTTGATACAATAATCTTCTTTATTTACGCTGTGGCTATTCTATCATCTCAAATTCATTAGTTAAGCAAAGAAACACATTCAATAAATTCCTTCCACAATTAACTCAAATGGAATGCTAGAACATGTTATTTTGCAAGTTATACCCACCAAAAAGGGCAAGTACCTGAAGAATGACTGTTGATGTGATAAAACCAAATGCATATTCACCCACACGTGGGTGACAAATAATTGCCACTTCTTTAAAAGCAGTGGTATTTTGGTCTGGAGAAAGAATATACGGATAACATGTCAGTTTGAAAGTTATTTTAGAATGAAGCTAATAAATCAATTAATGAAATCAATTAAAGAAATATCAGATTTTACACAAGAAAAAGTATAAATATCGAGAATTCTAAACTAATAAATAGTTCAAAAAATAAAAACCAATTCAAGTCATTCAACCATATACACAGCATCTGACAATGTTGTAAACAGATCCACATCCTCCGTATCTTTTGTTCATATAATTTGCTATATTAAATTGACTATATTATATAGGCACAAATGCTTAATTTGTTTCCATGAAAAAAACAATCATTTCAGGGATTTAAATTTTATAGTTCAATCCAGTATCATGTTCCCGTTATGAAGGTATTAACTTTTAGAGAACTCAATAAAGCAGAAATCCTAGGGTATAAGTTTGTGCATTTTTAATCCCATCAATTCATCAAAATTAGGCAGTCACTAAGCAAAGAGGATAATTTTTCTTCAAATAAGAAACAGACAAAGCAAATCTTACCTGGAGAAACTGCGGCACTAATTTGCTTGGAGGCTGAGTATATGTGCTTAACAAAGGGCATTCGCTTTATAATCCACTCTCCAATCCAGAAAACAGTAGCACCCATCCATGATGAAACAAAAACACCAACAAAAAACACAAAAACTAAAGATGTGACAAACCCAAGGCCTGCATCACAATGAACTGCCTTTAAGAGACATAGCTATAAAGGTAGAAGAGAAAAGATAGAATTCAAGGCATGAAACTGGAAATATGTCATAAATATAATAACATGCAGCAAACAATAAAAGCTTTGATCATTTCCACATGTATTCTTAATCATTAAACTAAAAGGATTTCGAGATAAATATACAAGCCTATAAAAATTTTAGATAAGTAAGACAAAAACAAAGCAGAACAAAGCATAGCAATGTCCCATGCCTCCAATCCCAGCTACTAACCATAGCCATTTCCTCAAAAAAGTCAACAATCTTGNGGGATTTAAATTTTATAGTTCAATCCAGTATCATGTTCCCGTTATGAAGGTATTAACTTNAGGATTTAAATTTTATAGTTCAATCCAGTATCATGTTCCCTTGATTTAAATTTTATAGTTCAATCCAGTATCATGTTCCCGTTATGAAGGTATTAACTTTTAGAGAACTCAATAAAGCAGAAATCCTAGGGTATAAGTTTGTGCATTTTTAATCCCATCAATTCATCAAAATTAGGCAGTCACTAAGCAAAGAGGATAATTTTTCTTCAAATAAGAAACAGACAAAGCAAATCTTACCTGGAGAAACTGCGGCACTAATTTGCTTGGAGGCTGAGTATATGTGCTTAACAAAGGGCATTCGCTTTATAATCCACTCTCCAATCCAGAAAACAGTAGCACCCATCCATGATGAAACAAAAACACCAACAAAAAACACAAAAACTAAAGATGTGACAAACCCAAGGCCTGCATCACAATGAACTGCCTTTAAGAGACATAGCTATAAAGGTAGAAGAGAAAAGATAGAATTCAAGGCATGAAGCTGGAAATATGTCATAAATATAATAACATGCAGCAAACAATAAAAGCTTTGATCATTTCCACATGTATTCTTAATCATTAAACTAAAAGGATTTTGAGATAAATATACAAGCCTATAAAAATTTTAGATAAGTAAGACAAAAACAAAGCAGAACAAAGCATAGCAATGTCCCGTGCCTCCAATCCCAGCTACTAACCATAGCCATTTCCTCAAAAAAGTCAACAATCTTGCAAACCCACAATCATTGGATTATCAAAGATACATCCTTCAAAAGTCAAGGTCCTTAATATGAAATGACTAAAAAACAAGCACATGATATTAAAATCTCCACGACAAGTCCAGCATGTGGAGTGAACTAAATATTTAAGCGGTATCACACTGTCAGTTTTGCATTTTACCATAGCTCAGTATTAGTGACTCAAACACATTCAGTTACTTTGCTTAAGATGACCACCACTAGATGGGTCAAGCAACAGTCTGTTTGAAGAGAAATTTGTGAGACATATTTATTCAGCAAGGAAGTAAAAGGAAATAGAAAGGTTTTTTTTTGGGTAAACAAATGGCAAGATCATTCATGGTGTAAGTAGTGATATTAGACGTGGATAACCATTTGTAGCTGTTGAACTAAGTAATCAAGAAAAACCACACCAGGAATGTCCAAAGGCTGATGAACTCAACAAAAATATAGAAAAGCAAAAAAATAAAAGAATAAATACAACATAAGGGTTAAAGAACCACCTTCAGCACGTCCTCTTTTTTTTCTTGGCACAAAATCCTTAGACACACTATTTGAAGCACATGTATTCTTTGTTTGCAACTGGTTTTTATCATCTTCAGATCAATAATGTCAAAGCAATTTGCGATGTCATGCATCCATGTTTGAACCACAAAAGAAAAGGCTGTGGTCTTGGAAACCTCAAACAAAGAACTCTATAACAAGATACAAGCATATTACAGAAAAAAGAAAAGGTAGAAGAATGATGAGCCTGCAAGGGCCTTGTTTTTAACTGCATACGCTCCAAAATTCTCAATTTCTTTTTAAATTACAGCCCACTGTTGTAAATGTCACTGGCTTAAACAAAAGAAAGTTTAGAGTCCTTTGGGAAAAGGCAAGTTGACAAAGTTAAGGGTAAAGGCAAACTGCAGCAGTTGCCACAAACTATGAATAGCATTAAAACCTCATAGAACCTAGCCAGAGTTGACCTTGCGGCTCACCTTCAGAAGCTGTCCAATTGATACCAAACCATGATGTAGCAACAAAAGAAAATGTCCACTGAAGTGCCAGCATTGTCCAATTGTACGACCAAATTTGATTATATCGGCTTCCAAACAACTATAACAGCTCGCTAGGATGGAACTAACCATTCAAGATTGTGTGCTACAAACTTCTGCTTCTGTTCTTCCAAAATCACCATCGAGTTGGAAAATCTCTCCCTTCGAGTGGACATCATGATAGAGATCGAAAAGGGTTTGGATGAGCTTAAATTGAAGAATTGAATTTTATTATTTGTTTTAGTATTATTTTATTAGTTAGGGAATATTTGTTTGACTGGGAATATTAATTAGAGTTTAACTAAGAAATTGTTATAGAGTTTTAGTAGGATAGGGATTTGAAAGTTTGATTATGAAACTCTTTTAGTATTTTANTGGGAGTATTAATTAGAGTTTAACTAAGAAATTGTTATAGAGTTTTAGTAGGATAGGGATTTGAAAGTTTGATTATGAAACTCTTTTAGTATTTTAGTTGGAAAGCAATTTGTATTTTAGTAGGGGACTTGACCAATAAATAATGGTGTAATCCCAACTATTTTTAATGATAGAGAGTGATATAATAAAAAATGGTTCTCCGTGGAGAATTTATGTGTTTCTTCACCGATTCCTTGCGAGGATGAGGTAAACCCCTTCCACCCCCTCTTCTTTCTTCTTCTCTTTCTATTATATAATTTTTAGTCCTTCCCGTTCTACATCAGTTTGGTATCAGAGCCCAACTTCGATCATTCTCGATTGTGGTTGTGTTTCTTGAGATCCGTCTGTCATCCTTAAGTTTTAGTTTCTTTCCAAAAAAAATTTAGCAGAACCAAGTCCAATAAAAAAAATAGCCACTGCCCATTGCACAAAACCCATAACACAAAAATCAATACCCAAATCCACAAAATTACACAAACACCCCCCAAGCTTTTTAAAATTATATATCTGGCCCCTTAGAGTTTTTGAAATTACACTTTTGCCCCCAAAAGTTTTTGAAATTNCGCACAAAACCCATAACACAAAAATCAATACCCAAATCCACAAAATTACACAAACATCCCCCAAGCTTTTTAAAATTATATATCTGGCCCCTTAGAGTTTTTGAAATTACACTTTTGCCCCCAAAAGTTTTTGAAATTATATTTTTGGCCCCAAAAATTTTTGAAATTACATTTTGGCCCCTAAGTTTCTAAAATTATAGTTTAGCCCCAGAATTTTCTAAAATTACAGATTGACCTCAAAATTTTCAAAAAAAAAAAAAAGGNTGGCCCCAAAAATTTTTGAAATTACATTTTGGCCCCTAAGTTTCTAAAATTATAGTTTAGCCCTAGAATTTTCTAAAATTACAGATTGACCTCAAAATTTTCAAAAAAAAAAAAAAGGTTCTTAAAATACTCTTCCAATCAATATGGTTTCCAATGTCAAATTAAATGCTAAAGTGGAAACTTTATCCCAAGCACAAGTTGATTCACAAAAGGCTATGAATGCTAAACTAGATACAATTCAAGCATCCATCGATTCAATAAGAAAACTTGTGCTCGCTACAGTTTGTGAAACAAAAACAAGTAAAGGTTTTAACTTTGTATCTTCAACTGTCAATCAAAAAGTAGTTGAACACAACCCTCTAATTATACCACAAGTTCCACCACTACAAGTTACAATCCAATTGCATGACGATAAACCGAAGTTATTCAATGTTTGATGAACCCAAAAGTTCTACTTCTACTCATCCTACAACAATTGTTTTTGACAAGTCGATTGCAAAGGGTGTTCCTACAGATGAAAAGCAAGTTTCAAGCATAATTTTTTAGATGGGGTTGCTACTTTTTCATCAACATCCTCACCGTCATTTTATTTAGAACAAAGTGTGAAAGTTATGAAAATTCGAGATATAGATTCCTACCATTGTGATATCCTATATTATGTCATTGAAGGATGTTAAGTTTAGAAGATTAATATAATATTAGAGACAATATTCAGGGAGAAACAGAGAGAGGTTAGAACTTAACCTAACTCTCATACATCACTTGTATTTATAGTTAACCTACAATAATAAAAATTATACAGACACCCTCTTTCTATTAACAATTTACACATACTACCCTACTATTCTTAGCACTCCTCCTCAAACTGGACTATATATATCATATAATCCAAACTTAGAACAAATAGCTGTAAAANTACATACACCCTCTTTCTATTAACAATTTACACATACTACCCTACTATTCTTAGCACTCCCCCTCAAACTGGACTATATATATCATATAATCCAAACTTAGAACAAATAGCTGTAAAACGTGTATGACTCAATACTTTGGTAAACATATCTGCAAGCTGATCTTTAGATTTCACAAATGGAGTTGTAATCTCCCCGGTTACTATCTTATCTCGAACAAAATGACAATCAACCTCAATATGATTGGTTCTCTCATGAAACACAGGATTGGCAGCGATATGGACAGCTGTCTGGTTGTCACAGAACAATTGTAAAGTAAGTTGAACTGGAAACCCAATTTCCTGAAGGAAGTGTAGTAGCCAAGTCAACTCACTCGTCGTATGTGTCATTGCCCTATACTCAGCCTCAGCACTAGATCTTACTACCACAAGTTGTTTCTTNGTGAAACACAGGATTGGCAGCGATATGGACAGCTGTCTGGTTGTCACAGAACAACTGTAAAGTAAGTTGAACTGGAAACCCAATTTCCTGAAGGAAGTGTAGTAGCCAAGTCAACTCACTCGTCGTATGTGTCATTGCCCTATACTCAGCCTCAGCACTAGATCTTACTACCACAAGTTGTTTCTTACTTTTCTATGAGACAACATTACCTCCTAAGAAAGT